AATGTAAATAAGCACTATCATGTTAAAATATATGCACAAGTTCAATTACAGGCAGATGCACAGAAAAATATGACAAGTTGACATCAGATTCATATCAAAATTAATCCCACCATATGGCATGCCTCAACAAAGGGTGTAATAAAATTTCAAGCATCCACTATGAATAGCTAATGAGAAAACTGCAACGAAAATTTGTTATGTGTGAAACAGAGAGACGCACAGACAAACAGGAAGTTGATATCCGATTTGAAAAAAAAATGTATCCCAAGATATGGCATACCTCAGAGAAGATTTTGTTAAAATGTCAAGCATCTACAACAAATTATTGCGAAGAAAACTGTGACGAAAATTTGTTATGTATGAAACGGACAGACAAACAGAGAGTTGACAACGGATTTAAGAGAAAATGTATCCCACCATATGGCATGCCTCAGAGAAGATTGTGTTAAAATTTCAAGCATCTACAATGAGTAGTTGCTGAGTAAACTGCGACGAATATTTTGTTATGCATGAAACGGACAGACGCAGAGACAAACAGGAAGTTGACATCAGATTTGAGCGAAAATGTATCCCAACAAATGGCATGCCCCAGAGAAGATTGTGGTAAAATTTTAAGCATCTACAATGAGTAGTTGCTGAGAAAACTGCAACGAAAATTTGTTATGTATGAAACGGACAGACCCACAGACAAACAGGAAGTTGATATCCGATTTGAGCGAAAATGTATCCCACTACATAGCATGCCTCAGAGAAGATTGTATCAAAATTTCAAGCATCTACGATGAGTAGTTGCTGAGAAAACTGTGACGAAAACTTGTGATGTATGAAACGGACAGACGCACAGACAAACAGGAAGTTGATATCCGATTTGAGCGAAAATGTATCCCACCATATGGCATGCCTCAGAAAAGATTGTGTTAAAATTTCAAGCATCTACGATGAGTAGTTACTGAGAAAACTGTGACGAAAATTTGTTTCGGACAGACACACAGCTACACGGACACACGGACACACAGACACACGGACGGACGGACAGACACTCAAGGGTAAAACAGTATACCCCCCCCCTCTCCTTCGGAGCGGGGGTATAAATATTGGCAACATTTTATCAATTAAAACATTTATTTCCATTCTTTACATATTTCTTACCAAGAAGCTCAAGTCTAGTACATATGATTCATATTTATACGTAACAAGAGAATTTAATTATTGAAATGCAAATGTAATGACCTGAATGAAGGATATGGAGATAACGAATAGTATTCAACATCAAAGTCGATTAAACAATACAAAATAGGAGCAGAGCAAACACGGAATCCAAAACCTCAGCTATGGGATCAAGTGCCACCAGGTAAGCATATCTTGCCGACGTGTCACATGTGCTCATTGTACCTTTCAATAACTTAGTATCTATATACACTTTCATATAAAATTTATGTCCCCCACTTGTTTTTCATATTCTCATGGTGTATATCTAATTTAGTGATGGATTTTAGAAAATGTCCTGTTCTATTTTTTTACCATTGGTCTTTTTCTATTTTTTATAAATGCAAAATGTACCTGATGCAAACCTTGAATATTAAAATATCAAAAAATATTCAAGCTAAAAGTCCATTTAAACTTCCAAAATATTGCAGAGGTGGAATCAGGTACCATGTAGGAGCGAGCATCTCCTGCCGACTGATCACGCCCGCCGTGTGTTCTTTGTGAAGATTTGGGGAAAATTCCGTAGACAAGTCATTACGCAAAAATGGCCTAACTGTAAATATGAAAACGTACATACATATTCAGTGTAATGGTCTGATTTAGGCGTAATGTAGTACGATCCTTTTAATAATTGAAAATCTTCATAAAAAAGCCTTTAATTCTCCAAGTAATGTGTAGAAAGTCTTAAAATGTCATCATAAATGTTAACCATATGATTCATATCATATGACGAAATAAGTAAATCTAATATATAATAATTATTAACTTTGACATTCTTATTGAAAATTGAAAAACAAATACAGTATACATGTAGGTATCAAGGCATGTGAATAAAAGTGCATGATTTGTATACTTAATCGATACTATTTGTTTTCTGGTTTTTTTTTCAATTATTTTATAATACATATAGTGTTTAAAGGGCTTCCTTTCATAATGATTGCAAAACACAAAAACTCCGGTGTATATAATATAGTTTAGCCTCCTTTGCAATCAAGTAAATGCAAAATATTTTGTTAACTTCATCACTCCATTTTTTATCAAAAGTATCAATCAAACTGAATCATGACATTTAGTGTTTCTAGTCATATTTCTTCCTGTTGTTACATCCATCGAGGAAACATTTGAAGTTTTATTTTTGTTAGAACTATAAATATGTATGTAATAGTATACTTCTATGTTTTCCCTAACCCTGGCATTTATAAACTGAAAATATACAAGTGGTACTTGTATCAAAATGAAACAAAATAAAGAGACATACCAAAACTGTTCGATCTAAAAAAAAAATAAAGTACACAAAATTCAAACGTGTGAAATTGACATAATACATCATCCTTTGGAACTTTCAGAAGTGAGATTAGATGACTAGTGTGTATGGTTTAATAAAACGTTAATAATATTTGGTCAAACTTTTATTATTCATAATGGCACATCATTCATATTTGTATAATGTAAAAAAATATAATTTTCGAATGTAATAACAATCAAAATATAATTTAATCAATTTGATAATCTATATTAACAAGTATGAACAATTCCCCAACTACATTAAATTAGATATTATTTATCATTCCTCAATACCAACTATTGGGTTCCTGTTAGTAAACTTATTTCTTTAAAAATATTATTCATAAATGTTTCATTTACTGCCAGTTACGTCACAAAAATTCTCCAAAGCAATGAATGATTTTAATGATTTCCACAATATTGATCAAACACTTCCTGTTAGTGCACATTTTTTAATGATATTATTTTATTCGATGCAAATTACGTCACAAATTTTCTCCAAAGCAATGAATGAATTTTAAGGATTTTTATATGGTTGTCAAGAGATAACCATAGTCAAAAATAAATTGATGGTGATCCACAGAAAAAAAAATCTGGTTGTGAATGGTTCAAAGTGTCAACTAATTGAACATTTAAAAATTCTTAATGGATGAATCGATGCATTACAGCAATTGGTTATAGTTTTACTGCATTGCTACATACATAGCTGTATCACCGGGTCTGTTTGGCAGATTAGATTGTTTAGAGTTTGTTCGACGAACACTCTTTTTCGGTTGAGTCATTTTGATGTAGTCATCTACCATATCATCATCAGACTCTTCTGACTTTGTGTCCACTGATTTTCCATGTCTCTGATTCTAAAGATGCAAATTTATTTTTCATTATCTTTAAACATATGATTTTAGCAATGTAGATTCTTTCTAAATGACTTGGCAATTGATATGAATATCAAATCCTAAATCTTGCATATATTTATAAACAATTTGAATTATCCCATTTAGCATTCATTAACCAGAGATGGTTTTCAATAAGAAACATTGATATTTAAGAATTCTATTACATTAACGATTGGGAGTTAAGGTAGGATTCTTCTCTGGTTTCTGACTAGATGGACTATTCAATGTACATTTGTTGATATGTCTTATATATTTAGATTTAAAAGATTTAAAAGACCATATTTTTCTTTTCTCATCACAATTATACAACTTTAAATAGAAATGGTAAACTGCGTTTGAAAACTAGCAGGGACTATATTTTTGGTGGAATGGATTCTTACTTCTTTTCTGCCTTTCAAATTATTATAGAACATTGAATATAGTATTACTTTTTACGCAATCAAAGACTAGATGAAATTTTCAAATGTAAGTTAAATTAATAATAAAGGACTTAAGTTTCAAAATATATCAAACAAATTTCACACATACTAGAACTATGTTAGCTTTTAAATACTTCAAATCTAAGTACAGATTTGAGCCAAAAATCCGTAAAAAGTGTTATTTATCTCTTAGTAAACGATCAACACTTTTAGTCTTTGTATCATTTTGTACCTTTATGTGACAACTTTACTATATGTGAAAATTGGAAAAAGTTAAATATAGGAAGCATATAAAAATAACTAATACATCCAAAAAAATTAAGAAAAGTAGAGGAAATTCGGATTAGCAAATATCCATTTTATTTAAATCATCCATGTCAATTTGGTAACATCATCTTATAGGCCCTTTATGATAGTATCTATTTATGCAAAAAGAAAAACATTCAATCTTTTGAATTACAAGTAGGGATCCTATGATTGGCAACAGTAATTTTTTATTCTTAATATCAAGGAAAAGGTAATGACCTTGACCTGACCTTGCCACTAATATTAAACGGTCAAATTTAATCTCACTGATATCATCACTTAGTGATATTGTCCTCTTGATTCTGTAAAAATTCCATTAATTTTTAAATACAGGAAATGTGAGAAGAATCCTACCTTAATAATGACATAAACTTATGATTTCTGCTTCAAAAACAGTGAAGAGCAATCTGTATCAAAACGTTTTTAAAACCCTATTTGAACCCCTATCTTTAAGCTCAGTAAATCGTATTTTATTTTAGTGTTACATGTTTACATAGAACCGGTTTTATTATACCTCGTAAAAATGTGAACTGGAGGAGGTGTCTGTGACGTCATGGATATAAAAATTAGAAGTTGCATTAAATTCTGTAGGTTTTCTAGACAATTCTTGGTCTTCATGAAAATTAAAGGTCCCCTTAGACGATCCTGAATTTTCTTCTGTAGAATTCCTGGAAAGAAAATTTTCATAAGAAAATTACTCCACAAGAAATTCCAGAGGAAAGCTGAGTGTTATCTATAAGCTTCATTTCTCCTGGGAACCCTTATCTATTGATATTTGTAAGAATACAAAGAAACGAGATATTTCTAACTATCACACATCTATTATTTTATTTAAAACAGCAATGAAATTATTTGTGAAATTAGTTAGTCGTTATTGACATTAAACTTAGCATTGTAAATTAACATAAAGTACACTTTCAAAGTTACTGGTAAATATTTGTTCACAAAAATGACTTTCAAAGCATACTTTGGTGTCCTCTTGAGCCATTTGAAACATACAAAACCCATGAAAAGCATTCCAATCAGTAGACCACAGCCCCCAGATCCTGAGAGAACTAGCCAGAAGGTATGATCTGTCAAAAAAGTATTTGTATGAATCAACATAAACTCTAATGGATTTTAAAAATATATCCCTTCAAAAACTCATGTTGATGGGAAACACGTCAATCAGATATTTATAAGATATTTATTTATGAAATTCATTTTTCTTTTTTATAGAGATAATATATTAGATTCAAATATCCATGAGTACTTCATTGATATGGAGTTGAATCACATAATAAGTTGTAGTTTTGTTATGTAGTCTCTAAAGGCTTTATTTCAGCATTTAAATCGTTTAGAATGTTTCTCTATATCATCACTTATCTATTTATAAAATGTTCTGTAGTGCCATACAAAGAAATTTAAATAGTTAATAATGTTTGAATTTTATACCATGACAAATATGCTCTTGAATCCATTCCTGTGTATTGTTGGCCATTTTCATTCATGGAACGGAAGATACATGGCTCATCCATAAAAGGTACCTTCGCTGAAAAGTGATAATATTATATACAAAGTATTTTCAGACTAATTTACGAAAAATATTTGTATAAGTTCTTACCAGACCTCACTTAATTCATATCTTTCTGTTGATACAAAACATAAAACATCTAAACATGATATACAGATACATGTATTTTAGTTTGAATTTTACTTCCTACAATAAATCGATTTCAATTTCTTCCTCAATCTTTATTCTAAACATATACACCCCTACTAATGTTATTGTTATTTAAATTCTGATCACGTGAGGTTCTTGACCCATATAAAGGCTAAAGGTGAAGACCAGGTTCGCAGCAAACAAAACCGGAAATGGATTAGCAATTGGTATAGTCTTTTTCTATATTTGATGGAAACTTCAATATGAGGATATATAACAATACATTTTCAAAAATAAAGTTAATTTTTGAAGGATACTGCATTATCTACGTTTACCCTCTCAAAGTTGTTGGGAAAATGCATGCCGATGCAAGTATTTATCTATACATATAAAAGGAGTGAGTGAAAAGTGGTGGATCCATGAATCTTGAAG